TTAGACAACAATAGCAATAAAAAGAATAATCATTATTATTGCATGTGGTGCCGGGGATTTGAACTCAGGGCCTCACGGGTGGGTATGCTCTGTCACCGACCTCTCTCCAGGCCTAGGAAGAACCATTTCAAGGACTCCAGTACCACCGCTGTCAGTACCACCGCTGCAATCTGGCAGTGTCTGCTGGGGGTCAAAGACTAAAGGGCAGAGAGGTCCTGCCTCCCTGCCAACCGGCACCTGGCAGAGGCTGGGCTGAGATAAGCAACATCGATCGAGCTTCCCTTTGCCCTGCACCTAAGGTGTTGAAACGGGCAGATGTCACGATTTCCAGAGAGGGCAGGAGATAAGCTCCGTGTCCGGTCAAACATGCTTCAGACAGGACAGAAGCTGAGTCTGAGGCTGCAGCAGGGGCCCCTGAACAGGAAACCCTCCCCAAGATGCCTCTCCTGTCTGGCTGTTCTGCTAAATGTCCAGGGAGGATGATGGAAAAAAGGCATTTTTGGATTCTTAGTCCTGAGCTAAAAAGGGTATTGTGTGCCTTCTGCCAGGTCTGCAAAGAGAGATTTGGCTTAATCCAGCTCAGATAAGTTGGGCGTTACCTGTGGTCCCCTGCCCCAACCACAGTGATCCATGCTTACTCCTGACTCAGTGCTCTGGAGTCCCTCCTGGTAGGCTCAGAGAACCTCATGCAGTGCTGGAGAATTGAACCCAGGCTGGCTGCTTACAAGACAAGTGCCCTACTGGTTGTACTATCACTCCAGCCCCTAAAGAAACATTTTTATTATTTAGCTGATAAAGGCACATCATTTCCATAGTTATTCATAGTTGAGTTTCAGGTATAAGATGTCCCAGGACCAATCCCACCACCAGTGTCAGCTTCTCCCCGCCAATGTCCCCATGGTTGCTCCACCCCCATGCAGGCCTCCTGGGCGACTGTCCCCCCCCCCCCCCCCCCCCCCGTCATCTTCCTCCCTGCCTCGCCAGTTCTACCACCAAGGGACCAGGCTAGTCGAGGTCCCCCGTGTTGGTCCCTCTATTCCCTGGTTCGTTACTCCACAGACCACTTCTGACTTAGCATGAGACCTTCCGGTTCCATCCCTGCTGCAAACTGCACAATTTCATCCTTCCTTACAGCTGCATTGGATTCCATTGTGAACACACATTTGAAAGAACCAATTAAAGGGTAGGAACCATGGTGATCATGACCGACCACCAGGTGGAGCAAAAAATAAAAAGAAAAACTCCCACCAGAACGCCCTGAGCCCAGGGCCCTTCCCCGGCTGGCTTTGTATTCAGCTGCTGTCGGTTTGGGGGTCGCATCTCTCTGCCCCGCGCTGAATGTTTCCTGTTGAAAAACCGAGCGGGTTAGGCCTCGGCATGGACGCAGCTCTGAGCAGCCAGCGGGAGCCCTGGAGGTTCCTTCTTTATGTCTTTGGGCTCATGGGGAAGTTGCTGCAGGTGGTTTGCAGGAGATGGGCTTGAGGCCAGCATGTTCCCTGCAGTGACCTCCCAGCTGCCTGACTCTGGGCTCAACCCTGCCCAGCGTGGAGGGTGAAAGGGGGTGAAGACCCTCTCTGAGAAACAATTACACTGGCACTGATGGGTCTAAGTGGCTCCTCCTTTGAGTAACACCCTCCTGCCACAGTGGACATGGAACGCAGGCAGGGCTGGCTGGCTGGAAGGCAGGAAGAAGAGGCACGAACCCCCAACTCAAGAGACAAAGGGACAGGGGAGGGGCGCTGCAGCCTTGCACAGGGCTGACTTCTGGCTCTGCACCCTGGCCGCCCCTGATGGCACTTGGGTGGGGGTCACAGAGGTGGGCTGCAAGCCAGGCAAATGTCCCACCTCGCTCTGGCTCATCAAAGCAGACACTTAACCTTCCCTGGATCCTTTGCAAGTACTCTGGACATTTTTGGTTTAGTTTGGGTTTGGGGTCCCACCTGTGCCAGGGCTAACCCCTCAGAGTACTTAGTAAGAACACCCACCTAGAGGCCTGAGCCCCTCATCACGGCCTCCCCCACCCCACATCCTCCCCTCTGCTTCTCAGGAGTGGCCACAACTGAGGCTGAGTGTGTGGAAAGCCAAACCAACGCTGGGTCTCGGCTGTTGTGTGGCCACCCAGCAATGCTCAGAGCTGCTTCTGTGCTGAACTCAAGGGGCCCCGTGATAGGGGTCCTCATGCTGTCAAAGCTGGGCGCCCCCCCCCCCCCCCACACTCCAGCAAAGCATCCCTTCAGACTGTTGGACACTCTCTGGTCTCCATGGCAGGGTCGCAGACCACCTGGTGATGGCTAGGGACGCAGCTCAGGGGCATAGCACACACACTGCTTGTTCCATCCCTGGCACCAAACAACAAACAAACCCCACGTGGCTACTCCTTAGGGACAGTCCAGACGTCAATGACTTTGCTAGAGAGACTACAATAAGGACGTTTCCCCGTTTTTTTTTTTTTCATTTTGAATCTCACTGAGTCATTGAGAGGTGACCCCTCTATCCTTTGCCCTGACAGGTTGCTCCCCCGAACCCGCCCCGCCTCCCCCAGGACCCAAGGTCACCTGCATTCCCAGATTCTACCAGCCAGAGTCCAGCCAGCTGAGATGGAACAGCCTGGAAGGCTGACACGCAAACATGCGTTAAGAAATGAGGCCGCTCTCTGTCAGCTTAGACCTGACCCGTGGAGGTCTCAGACACATGGAAGCAATCACCAGGGAAGGTTCCAGACAGTTTTGGAGCGAGGCTTATTTGTTCGTTTTATCTCTACAGTTGAATCCCATCAAGTTAGAGGATTTTAGAGAAAAAAAACTGGGGCAAGGTTTTTTTACTCACATTACTATTATTTGATAGAAAGTGACAGAATCTGAGAGTTCAGTTAGGATTTTCAAGCAGACTTCAAACTGGAGAATCTGGCTATTGAACTTACAACTTGATATTTTTTGGTTATTTGAGGATCCCAATATAGTTCTTGGTAATGATGACAAGAAAGAACATAAACCAGCTGTGAGAAGTTATTCTTTGATCTAATGCCCCAGAGCCATCTTGACTTCACTATTTTAAAAAAAAATAATTATCATCATTATTTTTTGGCTTGGGGGCCATACCTGGCAGTGCTGACTCCTGGCTCTGTGCTCAGGGCTCACTCCTGGGAGTGTAGGGAATGAAGCAGTGTTGGCTGCAAGTAAGGCGAGAGCCTTAAATCCTGTAGTACGGCGCTGGCTCCTGTTTCTTTTCTTTTCTTTTCTTTTCTTTTTTCAATTTTCGAGCAAAGCTTATTTTGTTCCTTTTAAAGCAGCAGCTTCAGGACCTCCGTGGTTGGAATACGAGGATTAAATGACCATCCAGTTTTCTGGCATCTGAGTATAGACTCCAGGGCCTGGATTTTCTGAGAATGATATCTTGACTCCTAACCCACAGTGATGTGTCCCATCCTGTTCCCCTCTGAACTGCAAGGGCCCGGGGACCCCAGCTCTGTGCTGCCCACAGAGAAGTGGATCCTCCCGTCCCCCCATTGAGTCTTGCTGACAGACTATCTCTGAGCATTTCTGTAGGAGATGGGTGGGTGGGTTTGCATGTAGGAGACCCGGTACTCGTGGGAGTTTCCCCATGCACTGAGCCAGTAACACTTAAGCACCTCTGGGCATAACCCTCTTCTGAGGGGGAGGGGGGGAAGACTACTTTTATGGGGATGTGGGGCGTGGAGGTGCTCAGGAGCGACCCCTAGTGGTGTTTGGGTGTCAGGACTGTCCTGGACCTCCCAGGTAATGCAGGTGAGGCAAGAGCATTTCCTCCTCCACCATCTCTCTGGCCCCCGAACTCATCATCTGTTTACGTGGCTGTGATCTGAGGTTTTGAGCTAGAAACACACTCTGGGGTTTACTGTGGGATAGCAAGAATCTCCACAGAGTTCCTCGTGGAAGCCTCGTATGCCTCGCAGAGAAGGTTCTTGAACACTGGATTCTCTGTGGCCCAGGAGAAGGCTGCGGCTGCAGCCAGCCCAGGTTCCTGCTCTCGGCCTTACAGGCTCCACATGGCGTCTATTTGTTGTTGGGCCACACTGGGTGATGCCCAGGGCTTATAGCTGGCTCTGCGCTCAGCCCTGGCGGGTCTTGGGGAAGACCATCTGGGGTGCTGGGATTGAACCGAGCTCAAGCAAGAGCTAGACAAGCCAGAGGCTGACGTCAGTTCTCTCAGTTCATGGTTTCTGGGCCATAAGGAAGGCGTTTCCAAGACGTGTTTGTTACCAGAAGGTTTATTTCCCAGAGGGGCTGAGTGGAGGCTACCCTTTCTTTTTTTAGGGCATGAGATGGGGCCACACCTGGTGGGGATCAAATATGGGTCCACCTGGAACTGCCTGGAGCTGCTTACAGCCCAGCATTCACTGTCCTTAGCTAAAGTCTTAAGCCAAGGAGGTGAATAACCCAGTTTCACTGAGATTCCCCCAAGTTTATCCTTAGCTCTTCGTGGAAAGGGGGCATTGCTCCTTCTCCCCAGCATTGGTTAGAAATGCGGAGTATGCTTAAGGGTGACAGAGAAAGATGATCACCTAGGGCATGGCAGGTAAGGGACTTGCCAAGGTGACAGTCTTAGCAAAGAGGACTCTGGACACAGTGCTCTGAGTCTTTCAAGGCGTATTTCATACCTCCCCCACTGGGTCCCCGGAGGATGGTAGTTAATCCCGTTTCCTGCCACAGATCTCATTTGTTTATTCACTCAGAAACATTTGCTGTGTTGGATTATTCTCCAAATGTTTTGTCTCTTCCACCTCAATCTTTGATATCCTCTGAAGCCCGGAGTGATGGCTCCAAGGGCTGGATTGGGGGCTGATCCCTGGAACTGTGTGGTTTTGGGCAACACCCAAGTACTGCGCACCAAGCACCAGCACCACCTGGTCTGACCCAAAAGCCAAGCAGCCAAACAACCAACCAGCCAAATAATCCCAAACAATGACGAATCCTCTCCCAAAGAAGGGCTTCGACACTTTTCTAGCAAAATATTTCAGGCTTATATCATCTCTTATTTTATTATAGTTTATAAATATACTTATAAATTAAATCATTAGAGTTCATATTTCAAGGCACTACACCTCCCAGATCTCCCGAGTTAAGGAAAGGATTGTACTTTGTTCTCTCATTTTAAACATTAAACACGAGCAGTGGAAGAGCCAACTTAATATGCACGTTGATGCTTTGATCGAGTGGAAAAATTTTGTACATTCAGAAATGTCAGTAAGGAATTAATGGGTAGAGACTAAGCTAATCACACTGGCATCGCTTTATCATCACCTGCTTCCTTCCTATTCCTCGTTGAGCTTTCATTCGCCATCTAAACGGAGAGCACAGACGGGCAATCCACCAGCCCATGTCTTGTCAGAAACGCTGGCGCCTCATGTCTTGAGCCTCTTGCTGACCAGGGGGCGTTTGTCTGCACACATTCCATTTCTCTTCCGGCTGGAATTGTCTTTGGGGTCCCTCGTGCTGTCGCCATGCAATTCTTCACCGGGCACCTGCAAGACAGGGGCAGAAGCTGCAGGTGGGGCCACGGAACCCCAGAGTAGCAGCCTTGCTGGTGCTTCCGGGACCTCCAAAGTGAGGCCAACAGGACCTGGGGCTCTAAGACAGAACTTCAGCGACACAGGTACTAACATGGCCAGTTCAAAGGGGGATCTCTGATCTCTCCCTTCTTGTCACTGGCTCACTGGCTCCATCCTTCTAGCTGGCTGGGCTGGGTCCTAGAGCAGCAGCTATTCTGGTCGCTAAGGCAGGATTGATTCGTCCAACTGTCTTGAGCTGCTCCAAGGGGCAGAGCAGCCCCGTGCGTGAATGATTTGCTCCCGGCCATTTCTAAATCAGGACTTTGCTGAGTGCATGGCACCTGCGGGGTACGGTGTGTTCCTTGATGCGCTTAAGTCATAAACAACAAATTATGCAACAGGGCCTCATGGGGGTGTTGGTCTTTCTCACACCCTGGGCTGTACAGGGCAGGAAGGGGCCAGAGCCAGGCTGGAAGCACATCAAACACCCGAACTAGGCCAGTGGGTACTAGTGGGTCTGCCTCCATGGTGGGGGCCTGGAAGACTCCACACCCCTACCTGCTGAAGCCTCTGCAGACTTCAGAGAACCTGGCAGGACTGGGCACTCTCAAACTGCCAGGAGTGCTAGACTTCAGGCGTTGGCAGCCTGACTGTTTGAGGCCCCTGCTGCAACCCTGGGACCTCGCAGCTTTTCTGTCTCTGTGCTATGGAAATGATTCTCTCAAGAAATGTTCTCAGACTTTATGCTTTACACATGCGTGGCCTGTCGTGTGCCTTGAAACGTAGCTGTGTCCTCCTAGCGTGACAAAATGCCAACCCAGTGAAGGCTGGTTTTCACCTAAAGGCCCTTGCATGATTTTCTGAAAATTGACCACCTTAAAACCCCCCAGTTTCTCCCCATTTTTGACTAGAAATAAGCTCACAAATTCTTACCTTGGCTTTGGAGGCAGCGTTCTCAGAGACCACACTTCCAGCCTGCACCCCAAGGGTTTCTTCCAACGCTACAGCAGGAAGTGGTCAAAATGGACAATGGGTTAAAACATGTAAATAAAAAAAGGTGGAGGGGGGCGCAGAATATAGATAGAGAAACACCTTTACTAAACATGGGGGAGGTGAATCTGCTTAAACTGGGTCGCTACTAAAATCACTGCCTTTACCCTTCACTTGGGCATCATTTCTGCACCCACCACCAGCCTCTGCAGGGGTCCTGCATCAGACCACGCTGGCCAGGGGCTGAGGGCAGCAGAGGCACTGTGGGCCTTGGGGAGACCATTACCTCCAGGAAGCCAGAACTCACAGGGGGAAGTTCTTGGAGCCGGCTGCAGGCAGGGTGAGGCCCAGGAGCCCTTCGGGACCCTGTCTGTCTCCCCTTGTGTCTCTCTGGGTCCTTTCTGGGATTTAAACCCCCTTTCCTCATGGACCTTAGAGTTTATGGCCATGTAACGTGCCCCGACAACTTTCCTTCACAGGCCACAGCTGGCCTGCTTCGTCCACCCATTCTCTTTATCCCAAGGAGATTCTTTGCTTCTCCTCTGGACTGTGTGCAAATGTGACTCCTACTAAAGTGACAGCTCCAGCCTCTGCCCTTGCTTTTGGGTCTGGAGGACATGCGGGTGCATGAGGCGTGTTCCATGTCCAAGCCCATAGCACGGGTCTCACACTGAAGATGCTGAAGTCGATTCCTGAGCATCAGGGATCTGTATCCTATGTTGAATTCACCTGACTTCTCAGCCTTCACTTAACCCCAGACTGATGAGGGGCAGAGAAGCTGAATATCAAAGTGTCCGCAACAGGGGCCTGAGCAATGGACAGTGGGGAGTGTGTTTGCCTTGCATGCAGCCAACCAGGGTTCAATCCCCGGTATCCCCAGATGGTCCCCTGGAATCTTGAGGAGCGATCCCTGAGGGCAGGGCCAGGAGTCAGCCCTGAGGCCTGTCAGGAACAGCACCATGAGCGAACATTCCAGAATGTTTTCTCCAGTTCAACATGGTTTGACACTGCTGATTTACTCTTTATGGTTTTTTTGCTCTTTGGGTCACACCTGGAGATGCTCAGGGGTTACTCCTAGCGGTGCTTGGGGAACCTTATGGGGTGCCGGGAATCGAACCCAGGTCAGTGGCGTGCAAGGCAAATGCCCTCCCTGCTACGCTATCACTCCGGCCCCTACTTTCTCACCTCTATATTAATCAGAACAAAAACATAAGTGAGCCTAATCACACAATATAGGGAAGAAAAAAGAGGGTTTCTTTTAACAGTCCATAACTCTAAAGGGCCAATAAAATTCCTGAAGAGTTGGGCCGGGAAGGGGTGGTCTGGCTGGAAAGCTGAGGCACAAGCTCTCCCTGCAAGGGCCCTGGTCTTGACCCGGCATGTCCTGGCTCCCGAGCACTGCTAGGAGCAACCCCTGAGCATCGCACCAGGAGTAGTCCCCCAACAACACAGGGTGAGGCCCCAAACCAAACACAAAGTTTTCAAAATTCAAACCAGAGGAAGTGGAACACACAAACAACCCCGCATGGGGAGAGTAGCTGGCCAGCTGACCCGGGGATTCCTGTTTCAGATGGTCCTTGGGCTGGAGGCTGTGGCGGAGATGCCATCAGCCCGCCACCACTCTGGAAGGATGATGGGCGGCATCACATACGCTAATCTCAAAGTGAAGACAAACGATGAGCACCGAGTCCATGTTTTGTCAGTCAAAACAAGATCTGAAGTCGCATGAGTGCGAAACTAATTTTTTAAACTTTTTTTTTAAATACAGATGCAATAATATGAGACTAACACCTAAGGACAGTAGAGATAAGGGCCAGGGGGTTCACACCATGGTTTGAAACTGGCCCCATGTGCTGGGGGAAAAGGCAGGTGGGATGGAGAAGGGACAACAAGTGAATGATGGTTGGAGAGATTGCCCAGGATGGGAGATTTGTGCTGAAAGTAGACTTAAGGACCAAAAATGATGGCCTCTCAGTATCTGTATTGCAAACCAGAATGCCCCAAATTAGAGAGAGAGAGAGTAAGAAGGATGGTACTTGCCACAGAGGCAGGGAGTGGGATGGGGTGGGGGTGGGAGTGGCGGGTGGGACACTGGGAACAATGGTGGTGGGAAATGTGCACTGGTAGAAGGATGGGTGCTCAAGCACTGTGTGACTGAAACGTAATCATGCAACTTTGTAACTGTATCTCATGGTGATCCAATAAAACATCTTATAAAAAATAAATACAGATGCCAGACTGGCACCTGCCCACTGAGCCACTTTTGTGGCCCCATGTTCTGGTTTACCCCCGCATCCAGGCTGTCCCTCTCTCTCTGCCCTCTGTCCCGAGTCCCAAGCACAAAGCACCAGCAGCCACTTGTTCCGCCCTCCTCGACATGGTCCCTTTGCATGCCCAGTCATGCACCAGCCGGCCAGTGCTGGGCAGGGGGTGTGAGGGGTGGGGGTGGGGGGCAGGGCATCTGGGCACTGACCGGTCAGAATGGAGTCCAGCTGGTCCACCATGAACGTGGCGTCGTCCTCTGTGAAACACATGGGCGGTTTGATCTTGAGCACGTTGCGGTGCGGGCCATCGGCGCTGATGAGCACTCGGCTCTCCTTCATCCTAGTGGTGGGGGAGGGTAGGAGAGGGTTAGGAAGTTTCCAGAACAGCAACAGTGCTGCCCGCCCAGAGACACTGCAAGCCACAGACCCTGCGTCTGCAGCCCTGGGAGGAAGGGAGTTGGTGGGTGGCGTGGCTGGGGGCCACTCACTTGTAGATGACATGCTGAGCCTCAGCAGTGGCGGGGGTCCTCGCCTGATGCTCCTTCACCAAGTCGATGCCAACGAAGAGGCCGAAGCCCCTGAGGGATGAGAAGGGAAGGAAGGAGGCCGGGACAGACTTGTTCGCAAGCACTGTGCTGGCCAGAAAATGAGCCCCGACCACAGGCTTGAGTTGACACTGAGCCCCCCTAGAACCGTTTTTACTGACCCAGTGCTCACAGCGGTTTCTAGTTTGTGAACCAATTAGCATACATTATCTGGGTCCCCCCCCCCCACCTAATTTATAAGATAGCAAAGACTAAAACAAAATAAAATTTTCAAGGCCTAGAGAGATAGTAAAACAGGTAAGGCACTTGCTTTGCACATAGCTGACCCAGGTTTGATCCCCAGCACCCCAGAGAGTCCCCTGAGCCTCCCTGAACAGGTATGCCACCCCAAAACAGAAAAAAAAGTCAAAACAACCGAAAACATTTTCATGCTATTAGTTTCTGAGATATCAATGATGATAAATCATGATTTACATTTCCGGGATAGCATCTATAATAATAATAAGGCCCTCCCATTGTTCGTCGATTTGCTCGAGCAGGCCCAGTAACGTCTCCATTGGAGACTTTGTTGTTACTGTGTCTGGCATATCAAATACGTCACAGGGAGCTTGCCAGGCTCTGCCGTGCGGGCGAGATACTCTCGGTAGCTTGCCGGGCTCTCCGAGAGGGGCGGAGGAATCGAACTCGGGTCGGCCATGTTGGCTGCGTGCAAGGCAAACGCCCTGCCGCTGTGCTATCGCTCCAGCCCTAAAATAAGTTTATTTATTTTTGCTTTTTGGGTCACACTTAGCGATGCTCAAGGGGTTACTTCCAGCTCTGCACTCAGGAATTACTCCTGGCAGTGCTTGGGGGACCATATAGGATGCTGGGGATTGAACCTGGGTTGGCCACATGCAAGGCAAACGCCCTTCCTACTGTGCTATCACTCCAGCCCCCTAAAATAAGTTTAAATGGATACATTGGAGTCATTTAAAAGTTTCTTCACTCTATCATTTGGGAGCTGAAATTTAGTTAAAAAAATCAGGAAATACATAGGTTGTCAAATATCAGCAGTGGTGATATCTGGCTTCTGGATTAGAGAGTAATTTTGGTGGTTGGAAGCCAGCATAAAGGGCTGGCACATGTGCTTTGCTGGAGAGGCCCAGGTTTGATCCCCGGCACCACATTGTCTCCTGAGCACTGCCGAGAGCGAGTCCTCCAGCAACCCACATCCCATACATGCAGCTCACGAGCACTGTCCCATGAGTCCCTCAACAGAATGAGGATTTGTTTTCTATACTTACTTACATGTCCTTTACTTTGAATTTGTAAGTTAAAAGAAGGTACCGTCCATTTGACAAGACAATTGTTTTTGCTAAGGTTACCTGATATCTCCTATGAGTGGGTGCTTTGCCTTCTGCTTATTCAGTAGCTCTAGGAGGTAGTTCCCCACCCTCGTTGCATTGCCCTGAAGGTCTTCATTTTCAATGATATCCAGGACAGCCAGGCCAACAGCAGAAGACACGGGATTTCCTCCATACTTCACATAAAAGTATAAGTGAGAAATCATAAGAGTTGAATTAGTGGTCTTTCACATTTATAAACATCTTAATTCATATATTAACAAGGTACAACCACAATCAAATTTTCTCTTGTGAAATTACTGATCTAGACTTAGAATCACTGTCACCTGTCACTGTCCTCCCACTGTTCATCGATTTGCTCGAGCGGACCCAGTAACTATGAGATTTGTTGTTACTGTGTTTGGCATATCAAATACGTCACGGATAGCTTGCCAGGCTTTGCCATGTGGGTGAGATACTCTCAGTATCTTTGCCATGTGGGCAAGATACTCTCAGTAGCTTGCCAGGCTCTCTGAGAGGGGCAGAGGAATTGAATCCAGGTCAGTCGGGTCGGCTGTGTGCAAGGCAAATGCTCTACTGCTGTGCTATGGAGAATAATTTTATTTATTCAGGAGTGCTTAAAACTTCATTCCAAACCACATTCTCCATGCTGAATAACTGGTTGGGCGATCAGGGAATTTACTGCATCACCCAAAACAACAAACATTATATCAGGAATTAAGGATTTCAGAGTATGGTTCAGTGTGAGAAACAGAGGTTTCCCCACTTTGGCAGTTGTGTGAAAATAGGTAAACAAATAACATTTTTCCCCAAATAATTTGTCTTTAGACTTGAATCTTACTTTAACTGTAACCAGTCCTATAATATATATTGCACAAAATAGTTTATCCAAACTGAAAGTTTATGATCGTGGTGGAGTAAACCAAGAAAATAAAAATTTTCCCAAGATAGAAATTTAGCATCTCTGGGAGGGAGTGATAGTACAGTGGGAAGGGTGTTTGCCTTGCAAGAAAATAAAAACCCAGGTTCTATCCCTGGCATCCCCTATGGTCCTCTAAGCACTGTCAGGAGTAATTACTGAGTGCAGAGCCAGGAGGAACCACTGAGTATTGTCGAGTGAGACCCAAAAAGTTGAAAAAAAAGAAAAAAACATTTAGCATCTCCAGTGAAACTTATACTAATAGTACCAACCCACTGCAACAGTTTGGAAATATTTTTGAACTTAAATGTAATACAAACACCATCACATTCATGGAATATCATAACCTGAGAGGTTAGCAGGGCTTTGTCTCTCATTAGAACAACTAATAAGAGCATTGTAGGGGCTGGAGAGATGCTAGTGGGCCCAGCACAGGCTTTGCGTGCAGGGGGCTGGGATCAATCCTGGACCCTGGTGTGGTTCCAAAAACCAAAATGTGCACTTAGGAAAGAAGAATAAAATGAAAAATATAGGTAGACCAAAGTTTGGGAAGATTCCTGGGGTGATTACCTGGAAACAATGAGCTGTATTCTTTTGGGGGGGCATTAGGGGGCTGGGCCACACTTGGTAGTGCTCATGTGTGATATAAGGCAACTTCAGTCTCTGCTCAGTGGTTACTTCCAGAACTGTTGGAGCCAAACCAAGGCAAGTGCCTTAACCCCTTTACTATCTTCCTGGCCCCATATTTCTCTTGACATAGCCGAGCAGCGTAAGAACATTAGTTATCTTTCCCTCTTAGCATTGACACTGGAGATCAACATTTACCGTGTTGAAATACTCCATCCCAGAGCTGCAGAAGGCTTCAGCGATTTCTTTGGTTGTTACCACACACGCCATTGGGTGTCCATTGCCCATTGGTTTGCCCATGGTGACGATGTCTGGGACAAAGTCTTCACCATGCATTTGGAAGCTCCAGAAGTGTTTCCCAACTCGGCCGAAGCCCACCTGGACCTCATCAGCTATAAACACTCCCCCTGCGGCACGAACATACCTACAAAGCAAGACCAGAGTCACATGCTTGCAGGGCAGAGAGAGTCTATGCTGCCCCCAAACACAGACTTTGTGCAGGGCTGGGAAATGACCGGAGCCGGTCAGCCCTGTTGAAAAGGTCCCACTGCTCACCCCTGTCTGAGACATCTATAGCTTTGAGAGAAGAGAATCACCAAATGCCCGGAGTAGAGAGAATCTATCTCGTTCCTGTTCCTGATGCTCAAGAAAGCTAGACGGTGCTAGTTCAAAGCGGGAAGAGAAAGAAGTGAATGAGAAGTTGTTTCAGCAGGGTTTACCTTCGAATGTGTGCAAATGCATGAAGCTTGAGATCAGCCAATTGGAGAAGACAATGGGGCGGGGTTTGGGTGGGGGCAGAATCCCGGACCATGTGTGCAAGTGAAAACCCTTTATTTGCCGATTCTTGGAAAAGTGACCAAGTCTCAGGAGTCTGGGGGTGGCAAGCACTTTGAAGTGACTTTTTGGGCTTTTTGGGGGCCACACCCAGCACTGCTTAGGGTTTCCTATCAGTGTTGGTGGGGGAACCATTTATGTTGCTGGGGATCAAGCTGAGGTTGACCACGTTTAAAGCAAGCATCTTAATTCCATTACTGTTTTTCTGGCCTGAAAGTGGCTTTTTCTTTTTTCTTAGGGGGGGGGGGGTCACACCCAGCGATGCACAGGGTTTACTCCTGGCTCTGCACTCAGGAATTACTCCTAGTGGTGCTTGGGGGGGCCATATGGGTTGCCGGGGATTGAACCAGGGTTAGCCACATGCAGGGCAAATGTTCTGCCATTGTGCTATCGTTCCAGCCCACACTTTAGTATTTTAATGACCACTATGGTCCCAGCAGCTGCCACAGTGCCCTCCCATCAGCCAAGGAGCCCACATGGGTACGTACTCTGCCACTTTCTGGAAGTAGCCTGCTGGCGGAATGACTTGTCCACCACAGCTCTGCATGGACTCGGCAATAAAGGCCGCGATCTACACAAGAGAAGAGGGCATCCGGGTCCGTTAGGGCCCTGTGGAACCCGGAAGAGAGCATTGCTACCCAGCTGGTTATTTTAAAAGTGACCTGGAATGTATCTGTGGCAAATGGCACATGAGGCTATTAAACTGAAAAACACTCCGGAATGGCCCCTGAGCACAGCCAGCAGTCACCCCTGAGCACAGCCTGGTGGAGCCCCAAACAACAGCAAAGATGTCCCCATGCTGGACAAGCAACAGATCTGGACATTTGTTCCCCAAATTCTTGGCATCAGGAAAACACTACATCTTCATAATTCATGGAGCAGGTTGGTCCTGTGCTGCAGCAGGTGTTCATTAAGTCACAGCCCAGGGGGCCCACCTGCCGAGCCATTCCACATGGTCAACACGGAGTGTCCACTCATCGGATCAGTCTGAGATGAGGCTCTGGAGGACTCGTCCTCAGTTTCCCCTTCCGCCCAAGCCTAAGCCTTTCCTTGATGGAGGCTTGTAGATAAGACAGAGCCCTGGGGATTTCACATCCATCTGGCACCCCGGGTCTGCAGCTCCCTTCCCTTCCCTGTTCTCTGTCATCTGTGCCAGCTGCATGGCAGGGAAGCCCCTCATCAGCCCAGCTGCCCTGTTGTCTGCCCCTAGGGCAGCAGCACCAGATGTGCAAGCCCAGAGAGCAGGGCCAACTCTGTCTGGGCTGAGGATGAAACCTTGCCAGGGTTCCATCGCAGTAGCGTGTGGCCCCCTGCCCTTTCCAGCTGGACAAGGACCTGGAGCTCCTCTCAGCCAGAATGACTTCTTCTGGGCCATCATCTATTGTTTGGGGGCCCACCCGGACCTTCCATACCAAAGCCTCAGCACCCTGCTCAGTGCCTCTCCCCTCCCCCCATGGGCAGAGTCCAAGGACCCCTGTGCAGGAACCAATAAGGCTGCCAGTCTGCATGGGTCTAGTGTTCAAATTTCCAGAAGAAGTATTTGGGTTTTTTTTCCTTTGTGGAAGGCCTACCCAAAGGTGTGCTCAGCGTTTACTCCTGGCTCTGTGCTCAGGGATCACTCCTGGAGGGGCTTGAGGGACCATCTAGGGTGCCATTGACTGAATTTGGGTCAGTTGGGTCCAAGGCAAGTGTTCCACCCACCATATTCTCTCTTCAATCCTCTAAATGAGAAGAATTTTATAATATAGCTAGAATAATGCCCTTTAGAAATACAATCCAGTTGAACACTTATCCAGAGAACAGAAAAGGAATTTGGATCGACTCCTTGCCACCTCTCCCATGTGTCACAGCAGTTGCAATCCACTTCACAACAGATGCCAAAGTATTTCCCAGACTGGGCACACAAACCTTCCTCCCGTCCTTCTGTGCCTCATCAATGATCTTCTTCACTTCATTGGCGTAAGCACTGGCGGGGTCTGGGTGGTCGTCTCTGTACTTCCCTCTGTAGGTATCGGGAGTCGGTGCCTGAATGCAGCAGAGGACAGAGGTCTCAGGATTTATCTCTTTGGCACAGGAACTCCTAAGTGCCTCTGGGCTGGTTCTTTGGCTTAACAATGTTGAATTCTGAGAGAACTAAAGTCTTTGTATTCTCAGTCCTGTACAGCTTCATTCAAATTCAAATCAGCAAGTTTGTTCACTGCTTTGAAATTCGCCAGGAAGGGAAATGATATTAATATTCCTTTCTTTGTTTTGTTTGTTTTGGGGCCATGCCCAGCTTGGTGCTCAGGGGATTGTGCAGTGCCAGGGACTGACTCCAGGCCCCCAGCACGCAAAGCACATGCTCTGGCCTTTTGAGCTATCTCTCTCTAGCCCTCTATTAATATTTCTAGATTTTAAACAAACCAATACTTACCATGGTGTGACAAACTAAAAACACTAAGGAAAGGAGAGTGTGCCTTAACACAACCGAGATCATGAACTTTCAAAAAGAAGCAGTGATGGTGACCGTTAGTGTGTATACGTGGTATGTGTGTGTCTCTGTGTGTGTGTGTGTGTGTGTGTGTGTCCTGAGACAGCAGACTATTTTCAGCAGTGGTCTGAGATGTGCCTTAGCCAGCAGAGCACCTGGTTAACAGGTGTGAGAGGCCTTTGGGTACAATCTCCAGCACTATAGAAATTTAAGGTCTGCCAGGGGCAGGAGCTATAGTAAAGTGGCTAGTATGAGTGCCTTGCATGCCGCCAACCCACGTTCAATCCTTGGTACCTTGTATGATTCTGTCAAGAATGATCCCTGTGGGGTTGGAGTGATAGAATCCGAGTAGGGTGTTTGCCTTGCAAGCAGCCAACTTGGGTTGGATCCCCAGTATCCCATATTGTCCCCCAAGCACTGTCAGGAGTAATTCCTGAGTGCAGAGCCAGGAAGAACCCCTGAGCATCGCTGAATGTGGCCCAAAAAGAAAAAGAAAAAAAAGAATGATCCCTGGGTGCAGGGTCAGGAGAAAGCCCTGAGCACCACTGGGTGTGGCCCCCAAACTAACAAAAATAAATAAAATAAAGGCCTACCAATCCCTAACACAAACACAATAACACAAACCTAATACAAACACAATTCAATTTCAAGACAGTCATACATACTTCGCTCAACACTGAATTGATATTAGCACTGTAGCACTGTCCTCCCATTGTTGATCGATTTGCTCGAGCGGGCACCAGAAACGTCTCCATTGTGAGACTTGTTGTTACTGCTTTTGGCATATAGAATATGCCACAGGTAGCTTAGAATTAATATTGATATTGTGAATTGATGGACTGGAGCAATAGGACAGCGAGTAGGGCGTCTGCCTTGCACGCAGCCAACATGGCAGACCCGAGTTTGATTCCTCTGCCCCTCTCGGAGAGCCCGGCAAGCTACTGAGAGTAGCTTGCCCACACGGCAAAGCCTGGCAAGCTACCCGTGATGTACTCAATATGCCAAACACAGTAACAAGTGTCACAATGGAGACTGGGCCCGCTCAAGCAAATCGATGAACAATGGGAGGACAGTGACAGTGATTGTGAATTGATATTAGCAGTAGAAAACTAATCAAAGATCAAGAGGCAAGAAAAAGTGGGTGTGGTGAATATGAATGTGCCAGAGTGAGGCTCACGGGTGGAGCCAAGACCTCACACTACCATTCTCTAGTTCTTTGTCCTTATCAGGTCACACACTCCTGAGAATTTCATTTCTTTTCAGTGAACAGAAAGGGCTGGATTGTCACTAACTTCTCTTCTGAGAACGACATCCTGATTCTTGGATTCTAAGATACTCACCACGTGCACATATTCCTTCTTGGCATCTTTACCCTTTCGGAATTTATACGGGCTAATTTCAATTAAAGATGTCAGGTGACCATGGTAAGCACTGAGAAGACAAAGAAGAATCATGCAAATTACTAAGAAAGAAACAAAATAAATGGTGCCAGGAAGGGGCAATGGTGATGGGATTGGTGTTGGAATATTGAATGTAATAAATCACAAACACCTTTATAAAAATAAAAAAGAAGAAACAAAATAGAGTGCTTACGAACTTAGGAAAAATACTTCATATCATCCAACACTGATGCCAGATCCTACTGAGTGGAATGTAATTTTCCTGGTAATACTGGCCATGTGATTTGTTCAGCTCTCCTTATCCACTTAAGTATTATCACAATTTATCTTTTGTGTGTCTGTACTTGGGCCACACCTGGTTTGGTATTTGGGGGTTTCTGCTATCAATGCTTGGGGTCCACACAGTGCTGAGACTCCAATCCTACCTCCTGTAATCAAAGCACATGCTCCATCCCTTTGAGCATTTATTATTTTGGGCATGGGACCACACCTAGAGATGCTCAGGGGTTACTCCTGGCTCTGTGCTCAGGGAACCATAAGGTGCCGGGGGTTGAACCTGGGTGAGTGGTGAGAAAGGCAAGCACTCTACCCATTGTACCATCTGACTCCTGAAAAAACAATTTTTTTAGCGGAAAAAAAATGCAATTCTTTGGATATTAGATCCATTAAAATTTGTTATTTAGGTATTAAAAATCATTGTCCATAGCTTCATTAAAAACTTATATGGATATTCACTTACAGCTTAATAAAATTTTTATTTTATTTTTCGGCCACCCTGGTGTATTCATGGGCTATTATTACTGGCTTCGTGCTTGGGGTCACCCTGGGTGGTGCTCAGGGAACCATGCAGAGCCAGGCCCTGGCCTGGGCCTCTGGCTCGCACAGCCTGTGCTCTGGCCCTGGAACCATCAAATCTCTCACCGTTTGAAAATACCTTATTAATTTTTTACTTCACTGGTACCTGCTAGGGTAGCCCTTGGCATGTGGGAAGAGCAGGCAGTCGGCCAGAAGGCAGGCACCCTGCACGAGGAGTCCACCCGCCTCTCTGCCATTTTCCTGTTGAAATTCCTTCCCTGATGCTTCAAGGTTGCTTGTATGTGGAATAGCTCAGGGGGGCTCAGACTTCACAGCACTCTGCCAGGGGGTCAGCAGGGCTGGGGGAGCCCAATGGTCACTCCCAACAGTGCTGGAGACTGACCAGGTCAGCAAAAGAAGTTCCGTGGCACCTGAGCTATTTCCTCAGTCCTCGGCTGCATTTCAGAATTATCTGCAGAACATTTGTTTTAGATGTCAATTCCCAGGTTTCTTCCCAGACCCATTCAAGAGAATCTTGGGGCTGGAGCAATAGTACAGTAGAAAGGCACTGGCCTTGCACATGGTCAACCTGGGTTTGATGCCTGGCAACTCATAGAGCCACCCATCCCAGCCTGCCAGCATGAAGCCTGAGCGCAGAGTCAAAAGCAAACCCTGAGCGCTACTGGCTAGGGTTAAAAAAAGGAGAGACAAAGCGAGAGCGAGTAAGAGGAATGAGAGAGAGAGAGAAGGAGGGAGAGAGAGAGCGAGTGGGGAGAGGGAGGAGAGGGAGAGGGAGAGGGAGAGGGAGAGGGAGGGAGAGAGAGAGAGAGAGAGAGAGAGAGAGAGAGAGAGAGAGAGAGAGAGAGAGAGAATATGAATCTTGATCTCGGTGTGCAGAGTCCAAGGGCACTGAAATCAAACAAGCAGAAAAACTGGCCTCGTGTATCCCTGGAAATCAGCGGTCAAACTGGGCAAGACCTCAACCAGTGTTGGTATCTGCCCCGCGACAACAACAAAAGGAAGGGAAAGTGGAAAATTTATGTATGGAAAATCACAAAAATAACAAAACTAAAGCTGCTAACTGGCTAGGCTAAGCACTATGAATAGGCCGGGTCAGAGTGACAAGACAGTTGGACGAGCCTCACGGGCCAACCCGAGTTCCTTCCCCGAACCCCAGATGGTCTCCTGAGCACTGCCAAGACACCTTAACGTCAGCTCAGCGAGTTCCCATGTGGGACCTGTAATATACAGACGCGGGACAGTCAAATCCCATCACCCTCTGTGTGTGGTGACAATGAACACACCAGGCAATACATGTTCGATTCAACTCTGTGTCTGAGACCAGTGGCTGGGGAAAGTGCAAAGGGAGCAAGGTGAAAAGAAAATAAATCTTGGGCAAAGTTGGACTGCAGATATCTATTTAAAAGATGAAAAAGAGCCAGGACCTGCCCTGAACAGAACAGGCCCATTTAGCACACAGAAAGTCAGTTCAGCCCTGGCTCTGCACGGCCCCTCCTCTCCCACCGAGCCTCGACAGGTGCAGCTCTGCAGATATTCTAGTGGCTCAACAAAGTACCCCTGAGACACTCATAGCACATGGAGCAGAGCCCACAGGCCCAGCGCTCCTGCTGGTACCCAAGGGACTGAGGGAGGCACCAGGTCTAAGGCCACCCTGAAGCCTTAACACAATAGAAGCATCGGGCCACGTGCTCCCCTGCCCTCTATGCTGAAGCTGTTAGCGTGGTTGGGTGGAAATCTTTGATGCACTTTTGTCTCGGAACAGGGTTTGATTTTATTCAGTTTTTCTACTTTTGGGCCACACCAGGCTATTCCCAGCATTGTGCCCAGGGATTGTTCTTGGAGATGCCTGGGGGACCATGAGGTGCCAGGGATGAGTCCAGGCCTCCTGTATGCAGAGCCTGAACTCAGCCCATTGACCCATCTCCCTGGTCCCTCTTTGTCCTCTTTTCCTTTTTGTTTGGGCCACACCTTGCGGGATGGAGCTGGGACTCCTGTGTGGCAAAATGCAGGCTCCAGCCTGCCGAGCTCTCCCCCCCAACCCCGCCCCTAGGGAGCGTTCTGCTCTGGGACTTACTGGTCAAGGGTGATGACATCTTGGTGGCCTCTGAACTGGCGAGCCAGGCGTAAGGCTAAATCATTGGCTTCAGAGCTAGTGAGATAATCGAGAGAAGAGACAAAGTGAACACAAGGTTGTATAAAAATAGACACACACACATACACAATGGAATACTATGCAGCTGTCAGCAATGATGAAATCATGCAATTTGCTGCAACATGGATGCAACTGGAAGATAGCATATTAAAAGAAGCAAGCCAGAAGAAGGATAAACACAGGAAGACATCTCTGATATGTGGTATTTAGAGCGACTGGATGAGGAAATGCAATGGTTTAAAGGTGGGATGTCTAGATCACCCTATGCCCCAGAGTATAAGGAGAAGGAAAGACAGTGAGCAAATGAGTGGTGGGTTGGGGAGAAGAGACAGATGATGAGCAACGGGGTGCAAGGAACTGTTAAGGAGTGATAGAACTAAATATCCAAACCAGACTCAGCAACATTGACAGGACATCCAAACTTCAAAAATCAAACTTAAAAAGGTATCTATCAAGATGGCAGCCTGGGGATATGGGGTGGGAGAGAAGGAACCTCAGAACACCAGTGGGGGGAAGTGGACACTAATGGCAGGATTGGTGATAGAATATTCTATGTTTAAAACCAATTATGAATCACTTTGTAAATCATGGTGCTTTAATAAATAAAATAAAGTTTAATTTGTGTTTTGGGCCACACTGGGTTGTGCTCAGGGATTACTCCTTGCTCTGCACTCAGGGATCACTCTTGGTGGTGCTCAGGAGGCCATATGGGATGCCAGGGATGGAATTCAGGTCGGCTAGATGTAAGGCAAATGCCCTGCCCGCTGTATTATCATTCTGGCCCCGAGCAAAATAAAAATTAGAAAATAAACAAATAAAACAGAGGGGCTGGAGTGATAATACAGCAGGGAAGGGACTTCCCTTATACGCAGCAGACCCCAGTTCAATTCCCAACATCCCATATTGTCCCCCCCCAATACCACCAGGAGGATCCCTGAACACAGATCCAGGAGTCACCTCTGAGCAACACTGGGTGTGCCTACCCTGGAAAAAAAAAATAAACAAAAATAATCACATTAAAAAGAGAAGATTCAATGATAGAATCAAGCACTTAAAAAATTCCCTCTACGGATTATTTTAATGTTTTGCTTTTGTTTGTCTTTTCTTTTCGGGTCACACCCGAATTAAGGTTAGTCCTGGCACTGCACTCAGGAATTACTCCTGATGGTGCTCGGAAGACCATATGGGATGCTAGGAATCGAACCTGGGCAACCTTTGCCACATGCAAGGCAAATGCCCTATCCACTGTACTATCTCTCCAGTTCCTTATTTTCTTGTTTTGGCAGTACTCAGGGCTTACTGCTGGCTGTTTGCCCAGGGATCACTCCTGGCAGAGAGCTCAGGGGGCCATATGGGGTGCTGGGGATCAAGCCCAGGTGTCCCACGGCAAGGCAAACACCTTACTCACTCTACCATCTCTCTAGCCCCCACTGAGCTGTTGTTTCTGTTTTGTTGTTGATGTTTGTTTTGGGGTCTCACCTGGAGGTGCTCAAGGCTTAATCCTGGCTCTGTGCTCAGGGATCACTCCTAGTGGGGTCCCAACTGGGGACAGCATGGGGTGCTGGGGATCAATCCGGGCTCTGCTGTGTACAAGGCAAGTGTTCTACCCACTGTACTATCACTCCCTCACTGCCGTACTGCCCAGAGAGGTGACGCCTTAGTTTTTCTCAGCTGAGATGCAGCCTGAACATTTCTCATAAAGGACACCTAACATCCTTGAGGAATGCTTAAGGTTTTGCTCTCCCCATCTCTCCCCAAGGAAGCCCTGAGGGCCACACATCTTAGGCGTCGAGTTCCAGGCTATGGACATCAGTGACATCACCTGCTGTGCAGTGTCATTTCTAGGACAGGCGGAAGCCAGCCCAGACCAACAGGGTCTTCACATGGGTCTGAGGCTCAGCAAACACACACACAGTGCCCACATCAACGTGCTTAACGCAACAGAAGCCGGTCTCCAAACTGTTGCCACTTAGCATGGCCCTCTCCTGCCCTCCCCTTGCCAGCAACTCGGGAATCCAGTCAGGACGAGGTTACATGGGGCACTCAGCGGCCGGGTGGGAACGGGGACACGGGAGGCAGGGAACGTACCCAGAATTCGTAAAGTAGCAGATGGAGAGCTTCTCGGGCAGCGTTGCCGAGAGGCGCTTGGCATACTCCACGATGTTGTCGTGGAGGAAGCGGGAGTTGGTGTTGAGCATTTCCATTTGCCTGAGGGCGGCCTTCACCACTTCCGGGTGGCAGTGTCCCACTAAACAGTCAGGAGACAAAACCCCAGAAGCCAATCACAGCTCTGGCCAGCGGAGGGGAGGCTTCCAGCAAGAGGAAGAAACAAAAACATTCAGTTTCTTCCTCCCCCACTTTTTGTTTTGCTGCAGCTTCCACCCCTGCTGGGACAGGCAGCTCTGCAAAAGGCGCTGCTGAGGCCGCTTCATTCCCCCTGGAAAACAGATGCAGCAGCCAAGCCCCCTCCGTCCCCAGACACCCTGGGAGGCCCCGTGGGCAGGAGCTACCGTGGGACACGTTGTTGATGCAGTCCAAGTACTGCTCGCCATTCTCATCGAACATGTACTGCCGCTGGGCGCGCACGATCTTGATGGGGTCCTCAGCAAAGAAGACTTTGCACGAAGGCCTGCAAGAAGGAAGGGAGGCGTCAGGTGGAGTGGGACTGCCCAGGGCTCTTCCTTCTGGTGGAAAGGAAAGCACCGAAAGGAAAGGGACACTCCCAAGGTTCCCCATGTCCATCCTGGAACCCTCAGACACTGCCCCTCTTTCTTAGGCACCAGCTTGTTCTGTTAAATTAGCCAAGGTTTGGCAGCTCTGCCTAGAGGCACATGGATTAATTCTTTTTGTTTTTTTTTTTCTTTTTGGGTCACACACCTGGCAATGCACAGGGGTTACTCCTGGTTCTGCACTAAGGAATTACTCCTGGCGGTGCTCAGGGGACCATATGGGATGCCAAGGATTGAATCCAGGTCGGCCACGTGCAAGGCAAATGCCCTACCTGCTGTGCTCTCACTCCAGCCCCAATTCAGACGACTCTTAATTATACAATACAGTAAGTCATTTTCCTTTGAGGAATTTTGTTCTATCAGGAGGGGGGAAAAAAGCCCCACTTGTTTTACCTGAGTCTTACTATGCATCAGAACAGTCACATATTGCAAGCAATGTCTCAATTAATCCTTCCACAATCAGAGGAAATAGGGTGATTATCACTATTATTATTTTTTTTCAGGGGTGCCCATGCCCAGCTTACTCCAGGCTCTGTGCTCAGGGATCAATCCTGGCAGGGATCTGGGGACCATATGGAATGCTGCCTATCAAACCCACATAGGCTGCATGCAAGGCAAGTGTCTAGCCCACTGTACTATCTCTCCTACCTCTTTTGTTCTCATTTGTATAGATGAGGAAACTGAAGAAAAATGTAAAACCTGTTCTATTTCTAGGCTAGAGAGATAGTACAGTGGATAGGGCACTTGTCTTGCAGGAGGCTGACCTGAGTTTGATTCCCAGCATCTCATATGGTCTCCTGAGCACCACCAGGAGTAGTAATTTCTGAGTGCAGAGCCAGGAGTAATTCCTGAGCATCACTGGGTGTGGCCCCCCCAATCAACACAAACACCAAACCAGTTTCAGCTTAGTGAGTGAGGAAAACCAGAATTGGGCTCTCCTGTTCAACTGGGATCCAGTCTAGGGCTTCACACATGAAGTCATGTTAAAGGAGACTGGAAAGATAGGTAGGGGGTGATTGCCTTGCACATGGCCAACCAGAGTCAATTTCTGGCATCCCATAGGCTCACCTGAGCCCCTCCAGGAATGAGCCCTGAGGGCAGAGACAGGGGTAACCCAGCACTGCAAGGTGTGACCCACAAACAAACAAACAAAAAGTCAGTCATGTGTGAAAGCAGAAATTCTTCTGAGTTCCATAGGCTGATTTCTTATGCTCTCTCTGCATTTTACCTAATTTGTAAAGAAAAACAAACACTAGTAGCTAAATATAAATAATATAGCATAGCGGTAGGGCATTTGCCTTGTGCGCAGCCAGCCCGGCCAAGCTGGGTTCGATTCCTCTGCCCCTCTTGGAGAGCCTGGCAAGCTACCGAGAGTATTAAATATGCCAAACACAGTAACAAGAAGTCTCACAATGGAGACGTTACTGGGCCACTCAAGCAAATCAAGCAAATATTTCAATTTTTTTTTGTTGTTTTTGGGGCCTGTGGCTGTGCTCTGGGCTTACTCCTGACTCTGCACACTGGTGGGGCTGGGGAGATGATATGGGAGGGCTCAAATATGGGTCAGCCAAGTGAAAGGCAAGTACCCTACCCACTGCACTTTCTGGTTCTACTATGGAGATTTTATAGGAGATCACTCGCCTGTCTTTTGTCATGTATCAAACCTGTTTTTGCGGGGTGGGTGCATAAATGGGCTTACTCCAGGCTCTGTGCTCAGGCATCTTTCCTTGTGTTCTCAAGGGAATATATGGGTTCTGGGAACCCAACCCAGGTCAGCTGCATGCAAGGCAAACACCCTAAATAATAAAATCTGGTTATTCTTCTAGCCCTTAAAATCCAATCTGTTGAACAGGTCAGTCACACATGCTAGGGGAAAAAGGAGCTCAGATAGAGAAGGGAGCACCAAATAAAGGGTGTTGGGAGGATCCTCCTAGGATGGGAGAAGCATTGCTGAAAGTAGACTGTAGACCAAACATGATTGCCACCCATTGCCTCTTTTGCAAACCACAACACTCAAAATGAGAAAGAGAACAAAAGAGAATGCCCTGCCACAGAGACTGGGTGGGGTGGGGGGCATGGGGGGTGGGAGGGATACTGGGATCTGTGGTGGTGGGAAATGGGCACTGGTGGAGGGATGGGCCTTATTTATTATTTATAGTTGAAACCCGAGCACAAAATTTGTAAGTCTACAACCGTACCTCATGGTGTCTCACTAAAAAAATTTAAAAAATAAATAAATAATTAATTGAAAAAATAAAATAGGTATGCCTCACTTTAAAAAAAATAGACTGTATCTTTGGTTATTGAATGAATGGAGTGTAAATTTTAGCAACAGGAAAATCACAAAGAATCTTGCTGTTAGTTATATGGACATTTAGAAAATAAATTGGAATGTGTTATTTTGTCAGTAGGTTCAGTTCAAGCTCAGCTCTTCCCTTATACCTAAGAAGTTAAAATCCTGGGGCTGGAGCAACACTACAGCAGGTAGGGCACTTGCCTTGCACACTGCCGATGTGAGCTACATCTCTGGCATCCCATAAGGTTCCCTGATCGCCGCCAGCAGTAGTATTGCTCTGGCCCCAGGATTAACCACTGAGCACTGCTGGGTGTGTGGTCCCCAAACAAAAACAAACAAAAGGAAGTTAAAAATCCAAAGAAAGCTTTTATTTACGATGCTCTAAACTTCCCTAAGGAAATTTCCTCTCTTGCCTCTCAGACTGCAGGTAAAGTTTTTCCAGTCAATCCATAGCGACCTTCCACTCACATATTTGTTCTGCCCACTCACTGATCATCACAAGTCCAGTTACACTGGACTCTGATCACGGGGACTGAAACCTAACAGAAGCCTCATTAGGAAAGGGGGCAGGGGCTGGGGGGCGCTGGAAGTTGTGGCCCTGGGGTGGGGGTTGAGAGAGTCCTACCAGACCTCCCTTTGCATCTGAAAAATTCCAGGGCTGATGGCTTGGTTCCCAGCTCCAGGGGTCAGCGTACAGGAATTCTGGTAGGATCTGCTACCCCACACGTTCAGAAGCACCTCCAGGTGCGGCCCCCAATAAACCAAAGCAATCAACAACTTCAGGCGGGCCTTCAGGCACCTCAGCCAACAGATGCTCCCTTCTTTTGTGAAGGGGTCACACCCGACAATACACAGGGGTTACTCCTGGCTCTAAAATGAGGAATTACTCTTGGCTGTGCTCAGGGGACCATATGGGATCCTGGGAATCGAATCCAGGGTCGGCCGAGCAAAGCAAACCCTACCCGCTGTGCTATTGCCCCAGCCCCCAGGTGCTCTTTTCTTTCCAGTGAGCTGGGAAGTTCTCTCCTGCCCCCGACTGCAGGGCTGTTTAATTGCCTGTAAACTTTGATTTTACCAGGGTTCAGGGTTGCTCATGGCCTCTGGTCAGTCACATTCATATGTACATTTTATAATCCACATCTCACTTACTAATCTCATTTGTTAGCTCTGGGTAAGACCAAGTTATTCCTACTTTCCTAGAAGAGGAAATTGAAGTAATTGGACAGAGGTCACACGTAACTGGACCTGTTTCTAGGCCAAGAGCTTGGAACCTGCTTAACTGTCGAAGCTCCAGAAAATTACCACGTCCTGAGTGGCACGGGGGTGGAAAACAAGAGTGACTTGCATTCTGAATTTGTTTTCTTTTTTTATTGGGGGGGGTCACACGCAGCAGTGCTCCCAGCTTGGTGCTCACCAACCCCGCATGCAGCCTGCACTCAGCCCATTGGGCAACCTCTCTGGTCCTGCAGTCTTAACGTTTGCCTTTTTATAATCCAAATGAGGCAGGAGCTGAGGAGATAGGGTGGACACGGGCCTTTCCCCTCTCAGCCCAAGAAGAAAGATCCACTTGAGAGCCAGTATCAAAATCAAAGTTTTCCTGCGCCACCCTGGACAGATCTTTGAGTGTCTGAGTTTGGGGACAGTTCTGCATGGGTGAGAGTCCCCTGCTCCTTCCCAGGGCCCACCGGTGGCAGGGACCTCTCTCTCGACTCTGCACTTGCACCACCGACAGGGCAGCTTTGGCAGGGGGCTGCCCGCCCTTCTGGGGCGACTGGGGCGTAGCGGGACCCCAGGCGGGGTGGGGGCGGCGGGCGCGCGCGAGCACGGGGCGGCCCTAGGTGCGGCCCCAGGTGCCGCCAAGGCTCCCGCTGGCCCCCCAGAGCTCTGCACTCCCGTCCCACCCACCCACCCCACCCCCCGCGGCCACGGGGACGCCTTACCCGATGTGCTTCTTCCTCAGCGCCAAGGTGTCCTGTTTGCTGTACAGCTCGCACATGGTGGCCAGGCTGGGGACCCCTCTCCGACGCCGATGCTTGGGGTGGCCCCGTGGGACGCCCGCTCCGCCAAGGTCCCTGACGGCATCAGCTCCCCGGGGTCAACGGCCTTTTAAGTCTTGCCCTGCCTTTGCCCTTGGCCAAGCCCCACCCCTGCGTCCCCTCCTCCGCCGCCGGCGGTGCCTGCCCGCTGCCTCCCTGGCACGTCCGGGCCACCCGCCCGCTCCGTCCCTGCGCCCGCCGCCGCCGCCGCCGCGGCTTCTCAAGGCTGCTCTTCTCTTCTTCCTCGCTGCCTCCCCACAGTTCCTTCCTAGTGCACCCCTTATTTTCCTGCAAACACGCAAAAGATGGGCCCCCGGTGGGGACAGCAACTGGGGAGTTGACTCCACGTTCCCACGGAACGCGTCCCCAAGACCACCCCGCAGCGGGCGGAGCGGTGCGCGCGCGCAGGTGGCGGGAACCTAGGCGCGCGGGGGCCGCGAACGCCACCCTGCTCCAGGGCTCACATCGCTTCAAAACGGAATGAATCTGCTCCAGCCCCGAAACTCAGTCACCAGCACGAAAATGATCCTGTCGGTTATTTATGGAGACGCTGAAGGGGCTCCCTGTTGCGCCTCTACCTGGAAGAATCTGGGCTTCATCCTTAAGGTGCTCTGGGCTTCATCCCTAAGTCTCCTGGCTACTTTAGGACGTTTTTGACCCACTTATCTCATTTGAGGCTCCAGGGATGGAGGAACTCTAACCTGAACTCTAATGAACTCTAACCTGAAACCCTGCGTTATTTTAAGAGCTACTCCACCTCTGTTCTGTAGGTAAGAGTGATAAAGCATAGTCCAAAGTATTATTTAAGGTCATGGGATACTTAGTTTAAACTTGATGGTTTCATTTTGGGCGTGTGTGTGTCCCAGTTTTGCCATCACAACACAGGTGCTAAGCGTTTGCAAATGACCTTTGTCTTGAGTGAAGAGATTCATCCATATCAACATGTTGCAGGAAGAGTAGAATTGTGTGGTCTAAGACTGGTTGAGAAATGGAGATCTAGGAGGAACTTCATGTTTGGAATCCAAAGTGTTAGGGGCAAAGGGCAGAAGACACTTAGGAAACTGCTAGAAATTCCACTGGTATAAGCTTTGGCTAGGTTCCATATTGAGAGAAGCTGCCAAATGCCATGAAACCGCCTATCCTTGGCAGAGTCCCCTATAACTGGCCATTGTTCCCCCAGGGCTTTAAGAAGGTTCTCCAGGGTCTAGGGATGAGTCAGGACTGATGCCCTAGGTTCAACCCCCCCCCCCCCCCCCCCCAATATTGCCCCTGTGAGGCTGGACTAAGATTTTTGGATCCTACATTTGATTCTTCCACAAACTGGGTGATATTCTTGACCTTGTGGAGACCAAATTTCTTCGCATTGTGTGACCGTGATTCATTGCACCCCAATACAAGAGATTAGGGTTGTGGAATGTGGCGGGGAAGATCTCAAAGCTCCTGTCTTGTTATTTCCTTCTTCTTTTGCTTCTTTATTTTGAGTGGGAGGGGACCACACCTGGTGATGTTCAGGGCTTACTCCTGGCCCTGTGCTGAGGGATCACTCCTGGTGGGACCTGGGCTCCAACTCAGGTAGGTGGCAGGCAAGGCAAACTCCTTAACCCACTGCTATCTCTCCAGCCCAATATTTTCTTTCCTTCTTTTGATTTTTGGTCACACCAGTGGTGCTTAGGAGCGACTCCTGGCTCTGTGCTTGAGGGTTGCTCCTTGCTCAGGGGACCAGGGGATCAAATTTAGCCTCCAGCAAACAAAAAGTACGTTTAGCCTTTGCACAGTCTCTCCTGTTCAGTATTTCCTTTTTAACTTACACTCTCAGTTCAGTTGGTCACTCCTCTTGCCTTCGACCATGGTCAGCCTACCACAGTTCTTTTCTGACTTTTCCCCCATTTATTCAGCTTTTAATTTGTTTTGTATGTTTGTTTGTTTGTTTGTTTGTTTTGGGGCCACACCTGGTGATGCTCAGGGGTTACTCCTGGCTCTGCACACAGGAATTGCTCCTGGCAGTGCTTGGGGATACACAAGGAATGCTGGGAATTGTACCCAAGTTGGCTGCATGCAAGGCAAGCGCCCTACCCACTGTACTATCTCTCCAGCCCCTTCATTCAGCTTTTGAATGTACTTTTACCTGAGGCCGGTGTCCCAACTCTTTCCCTCTCTGTACTCTTTCCCAAAGGGAAAGTCACAAATATTCCCTTGGATCAGGAAGACGTCAAGGTAAAGGTACTGAACTTCCATCTCCACTCAGCTCTTTCCCTCAGATTTAGGTTCTCATATCCTCTTCCTCTTGTGACATTTCTAGAAGTTTCCAAGGCTCCTTAAGCTCCAGAAGTCTCCAACGGGAGCTCTGGCTTCCAGCCCCAAAGAGTAAGGCCTCTATGAAGTCTCTCCCTGTGGCACGTATGCACTCACCTCAAACATAGCCCACGCCATGGCCCAGGGCACATGCACACACTGACCTGGGTTCAATCCCTAGCCCCGCACGTCTCCTGTGGACCATCTAGAGTGACTCCCAAGCACCGGGCTGAAAACAAAAGAAAAACAAAATCTATGTAGTGTTTCCTATAGCCACAGAATATTTCTGTGGAAATTGAGGTTAGCCTGAGGGAACAGCCCCTCCCTGTGTGACCCACATCTGAGCCCACAGCCACAGGCTGTCGGAGCAAAGCACCGCCCTATTGGAAAATTGTCTACCCCCCAAAGTACACTCATTCATTTCTTCTTCTTGTTTTTTTTTTAATTTAATTTTGTTTTGTTTTGGGGTTACACTGTGCAGTGTTCAGGGGTTACTCCCAGCTCTGTGCTTTGGGGGGGGTCACTTCAGGAATTGCTTAGAGGGGGAACATGAAGGTGCTGGGATTTGAACCTGGAATGAAAACCAAGTGCTCTAGTCCTATGAACTATCTCCCCAGTTCTGTCATTTTATTTTATTAGTTTCTGGGTCACACCAGCTATGTTCAGGGCTTATCCCCAACCACGCATAGGGATCTCACTTTGGACCATGCCAGGAATGGAACCCAAGAGGGCCATAAGGCAAGCCCCTACTTGCTGCATGATCTCTCTGGCCCACCTAGTCCTGTTCTGTATTGTTTTATTTTATCTTTTGGCTCCAGGACCATATTCAGCATTGCTCAAGTATGGCTCCCAGCTCTGTGCTGGGGGGAATCATTCAGCACTCCTGTGGTGCTGGGGATCAAATCCAGGCCTCTCATGTGCAAAACAAAGCTTGGGTTGAATGCACTGAACTACCTCTGCCCTCCACTCCTGTTTTTACTGGATTAAGTACCTGAGTCTGGATAGTTCCTCGCCATCCCCTCTACCTAGTTCCATCCCGAGTTCTGTGGTACTTGGTGACCATACTCATCTATCTCATGCTGTCTGTGGGGCTCACCCTCTTGGACCCTTTGAACCCATGTGAAAACATTCCTAGTCCCATCCCTCCTTCCAGCACGCCATATAAGCACGGCCTTTTGCTCCTTAAAAGCTGTGGATCAAAGGCTGCAGGAATGAATCCAAGGGCTGGATCCCCGGCACTGCCATGGGGTATCACTCCACAAAGGTGTGGCTCCCTCCACAGAAACAAAAATAAAAACCCATGGATGTCTTACAGGTAGCCCTGGACACCCCCTGCCCCCACTACATACCCCGCCCCTTCAGCCTTCCTGGTCTTTCAATGACTGTGCAGTTGCTTAAGTCAACTTAAGTCAGTTTAAATGCCACAGAAGCTTCCCAGAGGTCACCTGTGACTTCAGTGACTCACAGAGTTCCTGATTAATTAAAAACTAAACGAGAGCCTGGCCCATTCCGAGGCCCGTTCCTCCCTGGCTGGTTGCCCCGTCCTTCAGCAGGGCCGGGCAGGCCAGTTTTGCACGTGGCCAGCTGATAAACATTTGTTGACTGACAGACTCAAAGAATTCGTGTCTTGTTTTAAGCTGAAACGTCAGCCTTCGGGCTCCAAAGGCTGTTTCTTTAGTGCGTTGATTGTCAGCATCATCATTTCCTGGGGTGTGATGTGGTTCTTATGATTATGATTTTTTTTTTTTTGCAGCGCTGGGGCTTGAACCCAGGACCCCACACATGCAAGCGCAGGCTGCTCTGTAATGTGTCACACCCCCACTCCTGAACTCACTCTTTTTTTGGAGGGAAAGAGTTGCATAAAAGATCATTTCCCCATTGTTTAACTTATTTCACAATGTGGAATATAGTGTATTAGCTAGTTCCAAGGGCAGGTTTTCAATAAGGACCAAATAGCACCCAAAGAAAGACTGGTACAGGTCAGCCCGTTTTTGTGTGGGTCACCTTATCATACTGGTCACCCTCTAGGATGCTGTTTTCATGAAAACAACTCCCCTCCCTCCAAAACAAAAACAACTACCAGGGGCTGGAATGGATAGGTACAGCATGGAGGGTGTTTACCTTGCATGCGGGCGACCTGGGTTCAATCCCGGGCATCCCATATGGTCCCCCCAGCACCGCCAGGATTAACTCGTGAGTGCAGAACCAGGAGGAATCCCTGAGCATTGCTGAGTGTGACCCAAAAAGACAAAACCAAACCAAACCAACTACAACCCCCTTCCACACGCCCCCTTCTTCCCAAATCCCCCAAACCAGCTGAGGGCCTTAGGTCTCTTTCCTCACGCACTTCCCTGCTCTGACCGCTAGCAGAGTGTGGGTCCCTTTTCACCCCGATGACGTCTGCTCTCAGGAAGTCCTCATCTTATCGATTGGCCCACTCTGTTGAGTGAGTTCAGACCCCAAGGCCACAGATTTCCCAACAGCTGACGGCACTGAACTGGGGCACACAGGAGTTCCACTCAGTGTGTGGCCCGAGGACCAGGGCAGGGCGCTGTTCTCTTGTCAGCCAAGGCCCCACTGCCCCCATCAGACCCAGCGTGGAATGTGGACCAACGCCCGCGACCTCCCGGTTCCTGCTTCTCAGCCAGTCCTGACCTCTCCTGCTCTTCACGGGGATTTGCTTCTTCTGAAAACCGCACCTCAGCTGGGCTTCACACTGGGCAGACCAGAGAGCGTCCCCTGTGCCCCCACAAGGCCCGCCCGGCAGC